GGCCCCCCTCTGCGGGGGGCCGGCGCCACCCCGGCCCGCGCCCGGGCCCCCCTTCCGACCAGGCTCCTCCTCCGAGCGGGCACGGGGGGCCCCGGCCACGCCCCCCACACGTCTTCTTGCGTCCGACTGGATTAAGATTTGGAGCGCGATGCCCCGCCGCCCCCCACCGGGGGCCTCTGATTCGGCGTAAGTGCATTACACAAATCGGACAACGGCTAGTCAAGTGTATAAGCACGGAACGGAAACTCCGCTGCGGTTCTTGTGATGGCGCTATGGTACTGCAGTGCTGTGGGGTTGGGTTGTCGTTGTGGCCTACAAAGTCATCCGTGTCTGTTTATTACTTTTTTATTTTTAATTTCTTTTCAATCAGCGAATTACGGTAGCTTGGCGCCTGTGAGACTCAGGGTAGCCCACCCCGCAATACACCGATGCGCTATACAAGCAAGATGTTGCCTACCAATTAGGGGCTATGAACGCTTATGGATAAATAACGGAAGTTTGCAGCTGCTGAACAAATTGTGTCGCCGCTGAACACTTGAGCTTTGCACACGGATTTGCAATGTAATTTTATCAACAGTTTCCGAGGATCTCTACCTTTTTTATATCAGTGTGTTGGCACAGGTGACAATTTAATGGAAGTATTGCGTATCTGACCGGTCTTGAGGCCCTTGCGGTGCATGGCGGTGCATGTTTAATGCCGCGCGGACACTAAGCAGCGGTCATTGCCTTCTCGAGGGGGTGGGAGTGGGGGCTGGAGTTGGGACCGACTGCCGTCCCCAGTCACAAATCTGACGCTCGAGTGGTCGCGCCAAGATTCTACTCTAAAAAAAGTCAGAACAGAATTCCGTAACTTGTTACGCAGTAATTTACGTATCATTTTAAATTCAAATATCTGTAAAAAGTGGTACGGACTTCTATAACTGATACAAAAATCTGAAACCGTTATGCAGAACTTTGTATCCGTTGTAGAAGTCTGCATCGAATTTTTACAGATAGCTGTATCAAAAAGTGATACAGTAATGCTGCCAGAGTTATGACTAAATCGTGTGTTTCAAGTAGTGCGTGACCATGCCCAAAACAACTCTTTAGTAGTGTGTGGGTAACAATTCGCCCTATCTCCATCAGTCACACGCTTCTCTGTGAATGGCACGTGGGTTGTCACACAATTTATCTGTGCGTGAATCAACTATCAGCCACACTGTGAAAAATAGTTGTAGGTTTTGCATAAACAATTTTCTACACTGTGAAAAATACTCGTAAGGGTTATGGGAAAATATTCCATGATAAAAGTCGTAAAACTACAGTTTGAAATTGTAAATTTACAAGCACTCACTATCGACTTGGAATTAACCGACGAGCAAGAATGGCCTGTCGTAAATTAACGACTTGTTTTGTAAATCAAAATTACAACAAATGTCGTAACTCGACGAGGATATTTTGTTCACAGTGTTGATGTGTAATGTAAAAAGATGTGTAAAATGGTAAAATTACAATTATTTCATATCGACTTGAAATTCATCACCGAGCAACGTGTCCGAGGACACTCGTAAGTTTACAACATAATTTTGTAAATCAAAATTACAAGAATTTTGTAAATTTATGAGGATATTGTTACAGTTCAGCTTTTTCATTGTGTGTGAAAATTTTGAAACTCCCAACTTTTACATGTTGTTCGATTGTCTGAGGCTCCTTATAGGCTCTATGTAGTGAGATAATAACTGGGCAAGGGGAAATAGGCTCCAAAAATTTGTACACCCGAAGTCGAAGTTCATGAACTTCGGCTGAAGTTCACTGAAGTTCGGCCGAAGTTCACTAAAGTTTGCTTTGTAAAATTTTATCGAAGTTCACTGAAATTCTCCGAAGTTCACCGAAATCCATCGAAGTTCACGGAGTTCACCGAAGTTCAAAATGAGCATCAAAGTTCCTCGAAGTTCAAAACAAATGTCGGAGTTCCCCAAAGTTCAAAATAAATGTCGAAGTTCCCCGAAGTTCAAAATAAATCTGAGAAGTTCACTGAAGTTCCAAATATTTTAGTACATATTTACGGCTGCACTTAGCAATTTTGAGTGCTTACTATAAGCGAGTCTCGAGCTTACTCAAAGCAGGTATCAACGGCCTGAATTAGAAAGATTACAGAGGAACAATTTTGCTTTCATATCTTTTGACCAGGTCGAAGTGCGAGAACTTCGGTCGAAGTTCCGCGAAGTTCACTGAAGTTCACCGAAGTTCTCGAAGTTCACAGAAGTTCGCCGAAGTTCAAGGAAACGTACACCGAAGTTCAAGCCTATTTCCCCTTGTAACTGGGTCAACGTCCGGCGGCGTCGGTAGGTTTTGTACTACCGGTAAAATAGGTTGTGGCGCCGGCGGCTGGCCCCCCGCGGCCCCCACGGCGGATATTGGGGGCGGTTCGGCGGCGGCGGGCGGTGACAGGACGGCGGAGCGGGGAGCTCATTCATTACCCAAGCGCCGGCCGGCGTCATTGCGGCTAAAAGCGTCTCCTTGTTAA